GTTAAGAAACATAATTTGAAGCTTCGGGACCGTGAACTGAGACTGTCTCATGCCAAATCAAATTCCACTCCCTCGAAGAGAGAGAATATTTCGCTACCAGAGACCTACAATACCCCTGCCAAGAAGTTTGCAGTTGATTCCAGATATTCGGGTAGTGATAATAAGGTGAAAGCTAAGGCCAATGTGTCTTACCAGGGCATGCGGGCAAGCAAATCTGGCACCCAGAAGAAGGCCCCTGCAAGAGTCAATGCACCAGCAAAGTCAAAATTTGGATCATCTATGGAGAAGCCAGTTAAGGGCAAAAGACCAGCAGTGGCTGCTGGAAAGCTAAAAGCACAACAGGCTGCTAATGCTCCGAAACAAGTTGGAATAAAGCGGAAGCTGGATAATCGAACACCTGACACTGCTGGCCAGAAGAAGAAAGCAAGAAAATTTAGGTAGAAAACTTGACTAGGGACTTGAATCTGGCCCTTCAGCTTAGTGCGAACGTACCTCTGTATGAATTGGCTATTGAAAAACACCCCCCTTCCCACAAACCAAAAAGAGAGTATAAAACAAGAAAAGAAAGAAATGCCCATAGGAAAATGGGGAAAATGTAATCCATGCGAATGAAACCATTTGTTAGCTTTTACCTCGGTCTATACAATTCATGAAAACTGCACATTGGCATTCAGAATCATTTATTTTATTTTTCAATGTAATGTGACATGGTTTGTATCAGGTTTATGTGTTATGTTGGTTTCACGTAACATTTTCAGTTATGAGCCGTGCTACAGGTACAAGGGCCTTTTCACAGGCTCCTGCCAGGCACCTCACATTGGGAGGGTGCCTCAATTTTTTTTTTTATTCATAGGGGTGGGATCGGCTACTACCGGCCCATGTGAAAATGCCAACTGTACGTGAGGCATTTTCCTTCAGTTATTGTAATTTATGATCATGATGAATTCTCGGAAGAAGGATCTTTTCACTGTTCAGATCATGCTCTCCTAATCAGGTTGTGTGAAAGTTGCAACACTATGGTATGTTGAAGGCACCCCATTCGTATTAATTGCACGAGTCGAATGGGATGGAAATCAACAACCCAAAGGACTGCCAGTTGTCTATATGACTTGTTTTTATTGGTTCACATCTTATAATTTTCATTTTGAACTAGGGCTGGACATGAACCGACCCAAAACTTTTGAATATTTAATAAATGGAACCGTCGGGTCCAAATATAATTATAAAATCGTTCGGGTTCGGTTCCGTTCCGTACCATAATTAAATTTTTTAACATTTACAACAACATTACATAAATACAACTAATGACATCTTTATTCGTAACATTTACAAATTAAAGTAACTCGGTTTAAAACACATAAATAACAAGTTGTCCAATAAGATTAATTCAATTAACACAAATACCAAAAACTAAATACTAATATTAAAATATCGATGATCCATATCAATAATTTATTTGCTTCAAGCAGTCTGCATAAAGAAAACGAAATATTAATTAAAAGTTACCAAAATAAAAATATTTTTAAGTATTGGTAATACTCACCAACTATTTGATTTAATTATCAATTGCTTGACTTGTCATAGTAAGAAACTTTACAAGCATAATTGAAAAAGCACAGTTAACAAACACAAATAAACTAAAAATTGTTCAACTAATAAGATTTAATAAAAAAAAATATAATATATATTTATTACTCGTCTCAATGTCTCATAGAACTCTGTTTCTTCAATACAAAATCTATCTTGGGAAACTTTCAAGAGTCTAGAACTTCCCTTAGCCAGTTTTGTGCACAAATTAAGGCTTCAACTGTTTTAGGAGTTAAAGAACTCCTAAATGGATCAAGAATGCGCCCTCCAGTACTAAATACCGACTCAGAAGCAACTGTAGATACATGAATGGCAAGAACATCCCTTGCAACCTCAGATAAAAATTCAAATCTTGATTTATTGATCTTCCAACAATGTAAAATGTTAAAATCTACATCAGTAGCATCTTCGGTGCGTTCCATTAGATATCATTGTACCTCATCTTTTCCAGAAAAATCCATTTTGCTAGTTTTCATTTTCTTGTATCCAAAATAAAAATTACAATCATCTCAATCATCATCATCATCTGAACCATCCAAAAGAGTGGCTCCATCATTAGATTCTGCACCAACACTTCCACTAGCTCAATTCTTTGAACAATGACATCCTTTGTATTGGTTATTAAAGTATACAATAATTTCATGGCCTTATTTTTTGTGGCTTCAATCTTAACACAATCATACAAAATACCAATGCAATGTACAACAAATTTCAACTTATACCTAGGATCAAGCACAACAGCTACAATCAAAATATTGTTTATTTTATCAACATTACCCCAATAATTGTCAAACTTAGCCCCTGTTTGGCCCCCATTTTTGGGGGTTGTAAATTTTTAGAATAGTGATTGATGGGAGAATGTATGGTTGAAAAGTTTTAAATTTGTGTGTAATATTATTTTATTTGATGAATGTATAGTTGAAATGAAGAGAGAAAAAATTAATGTAATGGAATTTAATTTAATGGGCTCAAACGGGGGCTTAATCTTCATGCTATTTGCTATACTACTTTGCAAATAATCTTGCTTGTCACCCATTTTTCTCAAAATTTGCTCAATTTTACAAACTTCTTGAAAGTAAAAATTGGAAGTAACACTCAATGAAGCACTAAACTTCAATGTGACATCATAAAAGGTTCTTAGAAACTTGGCAAATTTTCTAGCCTTATCCCAATCATAACTTGTAGGTGGACCCTCCTTTGCTTTTCCACTAGTTTCATCAAAATATTTACAATAAAATCCATCCTCTTCCTCCATTCTTTCAAAAGATTTTTCAAAATTCAATGCACTATCTAACATTAAGAATGTTGAATTCTATCTAGTAGGCACATCTAAAACAGCTAGTTTTTTTGCATACAATATTTTCCCTTTAAATACAACATTTAAATTTCATCAACCAGGTAGGAGATGATTGAAAATATTCTACCGCATTGCGGATACTTTCTATAGTTGGATTAAACTTTGAACCCTTCTTTAACAATTAAATTGACTATGTGTGCTGAACAACGTACATGTAGATAAGAGCCACCTAAAATCATAGTATCGTCAGTTTTCCAATTCTTCAACTTGTTTTCACATAAATGATCGCTGCATCATTTGTATTTGTATTGTCTACAGTAATGACACCCACACGCTCTATTCCCCAACCAAGCAAACAATTTTCAATAAGCTTCCCAATTGTCTCTTCTTTATGATTTGGAACAACACAAAAACTTAATATCGTCTTATGCAGTTTCCAACTTCTATCGATGAAGTGTGCTGTGACTACTATATAATTGATGTTTTGAATTGATGTCCAACAATCAGTGGTTAAAGAAATCCTTTGTCTATCATTGATAAATTTCATTCTCAATGATTCATTTGTTTCATGGTAGAAATGAAGCACATCTCTAGCAATTGTTTTTCGACAAGGAACCTCAAATCTAGGGCAAAGTTGGTGCACAAATTCCTTAAAACCCACACCTTCCACAAAGGAAAAAGCCAATTCATCAATAATAATCATCTTAACCAATGCTTTTCTACACTTTTCTTTATCAAACACCATAGATATAATACCGACATCATTGTTTTCTCGAGTGAGTATTGCTTGGTTTTCACCACCCGTAGTGTTCTTATATGCATAACAAGCTTTTAAGTGCTTCCACATACTAGAAGTTCCAGATTTAGTATTTACCTTAAATGTTCTCTCACAATAATTACATTTTGCTCTTTCTCCACCGAGTACCTTAGTGAAATGATTCCATATTTCTGACCTCTCAACATGCTGTTTTTTGTCTTCAATTTGAGCATCCAAACTGGTATCAATTGAAAATAATTTATCAAACTCCTATTAAGTATATAGATACCAAGAATACTTTTAAAAAAATCCATCAATCAACACTCTAAAGTAATTTATTTTCCACTATACATGATTAAATAAATTCTCAACAAATTCTCTAATGCAAAATAAAAATATGATTTAATATTTGAGTAATCGTTCCAAAAAATCAACTAATATGAAGAAAAATCACCAACAGTTGACAAAAACAAGTTTTTAAAATCAAGAAATACAAAGAACTTCTCGTACAACTTTTAAATTTTAGCTAGTCCATGTAACTTATAATTAAATGCATTCAGGGACTCCATTGACGGACCATCAAAATAAGTTTTCTGCAATTCCATAAATGGCAGCCAAATCAAAATCTAACCCAACTAAAAGCAAGCGATAGGACATTTTAAGTCTAAAAACTATCAATAATGCTATTTGTAATTTTGTATAGGTTAAAATTTTATTTTTTTTAAAAAAATAGAAAGAAAGAAAATCAGATCAGGAAGAAGCTTATGATTAGTAAATGGAAAATCTATGATCCAGTGAATTGAAATGGAAAATCCAAAGCTCGCCAAAGAAAAGTCGAAAATCACTGAGAAAGAAAAGATTCAAAGAAAAATTGAATGGAGGAGTCTGAGTGTCTGTCCGTCTAAGAGAGAGAAGATAACTACGTTAGTGATTGCCAGCTAGTAAATTATTGGGCAGCTTGGGGCTTTAGGAGTTGGGCTAACAAAAAAATGAATTTAAGGTTAATAAAGCCCAAATGTTGGGCTAATAAAGTTACAAAATATTAAGGGAAGAATTCACAAATCAGGCCTTAAGTTTTACAATTGCAAAAATGAGGTATTAAGTTTAAAAAATGCAAAACTCATGTATTTAGTTAATTAATTAAAAATAATTATTATTTAAATATAATAAATTCACAATTATATACTTAATGGTCACATTTACATGATTATAGGTCACAATTTATTTATATTAAATTAATTGGTCACAGATTATTTCGAGGTCACAACTGAAAAATTTTATATGTCACATTTTATTTCATTGGTCACAGATCAAAAAAATTATAGGTCACAGTTTATCTATCGATCACATATTTTCAAATTTGTTGGTCACAAATTATTTTTTAGTCATAGTATCGAATTTTAAGGTCACAGTTTAATGGTAAACCAAAATAGTTGGTCACATACACCAAACACCCCCACCCCGATTCCAATCCACCAGTCACAAATTAACCAAATAATTGGTCACAAACGCTATCCCACCACCGCCCCCACCAACACAACACCACCACCAACAACACCACAGAAACGTACCACCGCCGCCAACAGCAGAAACGCACCACCACCACCGCTGGAAAGGACGCCATAACTATTACACACATCGCCGCCGCCACCCCCCACAAACACCTGCTCTAACACCACGCACCTCCTCCAACTCCGCCTGCAACTCCAATCAACCACCGCCCGCTAAAATTGGGGATTCTTCCAACATTACCACACCCACTGAAACAACCCAACCACCATGCGTAAAATCCCCAAACCACCGCACCACCGCCATACCAACTAGAAACAGATGTAGAAGAGGGAACAAAAAAAAAAAAAGGAGAGAAATGATGACGGTGCGAGCGTCGGCTATATGAAACAATCGCCCTGCTATTTACTTGTTTTATCTTTTCACATATATTTTCTATTTTGTATTCTGGTGAATGACATAATTTTTGCAATAATGGAGTCTTCGAAATAGATTGGCTGTCAAGCGCCAGAACACCCCATTTTTTGCATCAACAACTGTGGCTTCTTTGGAACTGTAGCTACCATGAATATGTGCTCCAAGTGCCACAAAGACACGATTATGAGGCAGAAACACGCTAAACTTGCAAATTCTTCCATTGAGGACTTGGTTAATGGCGTCTCAAGTAGTATTGTGAAAGAGCCTGTCATGACTGATGCAACTGATGTGCACACTAGAGCAGTGGAGTCGAAGGACGCATCTAAACACACGTCGTCTGATTTATATTCAGGTGAGAGTTCAGAAGAGGGATATGAAGCCGCGTTCGCAGGTTGCCGGAGAGAGAGAAGGGAGAGAAATGAAGTGGGAAAAGAGGAAGAGAGAGAAGGGAGAGAAATGAAATAAAATTAGGGTTTGAACTGGTATAATATTTAATTATTAATTCAATACCTGAATTTTGATTAAAAAATTTTCACACCTGCTTTTTGCACTATGAAGTTTAAACACCTAGATTTATTTAATTTTCCCAAAAATTAATTTGGCTGGATTAATTTGTTCATTTGTTTAAAAAATTCAAAATAATTTAAATAATTCAATGTAAAAAATAAAAAAATTATTTAGATTCGGATCTTATTCGATTATTCGGTTCTTGGTCTATAACCGAAAACGGACTCAAATTCATCGATTTTCAATTCGAGTACCTGTTCGGATATTTAACTTATGAAGAACGGCTCGGTTCGGTTCGGTTCGGGTTCGGGACTTTTGTCCAACCCTATTTTGAACATTGACTTGATAGGAGAAGTCTTGAATCTTGACCTCATTGCTACCCATTCCGATTCAACTCGTTCCCTCTCAGTAGCTTGCTCCTTTCTTTTTCTTCGTGTGGAGTCCCTCCCTCTCAGTAGCCTGCTCCTTTCTTTTCTTCGTGTGATGAGTCTCTCTTAAGTCTTGACCCTTAAGGTATTAGGACAGCATTTTTAGTTTAATATCGAGTTGTCTTTATATGGGGTGCCGGGGCAGGGTCCGCCCGGGCCATAATGTCTTCAATATACTGTGTTACAATTAACAAAAGGTGTTTTTCAGATTAACAACAAATAGAAATGGTTTTACATTATTAAAATTACTATAAATGC